CCTTGGGGGCCCCTTTGTGGGCCCCCCTGCGGGCCCCCCAAGGGGGCCCCCTGGGGGGCCCCCAGGGGGGCCCCCTGGGGGGCCCCCGAGGCGTTAAAGATGACTTGGCAGACACCCCAGCAGACCGCCCGCCAGTTTCTTTAGACCCTCATCAAGTGAAGCAAAGAGAAGAAGTTCGCAAACCCTAAACCCTAAACCCTAGACCCTTTTGCTTCCTTCTTACAGGCTTCTTTTGGGGGTGTGCAGGTTTTTGTGCCGCGTGTAAGGGCGTGAGCCGCGCTGCCGGTATGAAGGGTTTAGGGTTTAGGGTTTAGGGTTTGGGGTTTAGGGTGCTGGGTTTGTGCGCAGGAGGCAGCTTCAGAAGCAGCAGCAGCAGCAGCAGCAGCTCCTGTTGTGCCGAGCTGCAGCAGCTGGTTCAGCGAAGGGGAAATAAGTTCTGTGGAGAGAGACATCCTGCCTTCGCTGTTCACAGGCAAGCAGCAGCAGCAGCAGCAGCAGCAGCAGCAGCACGAACAGCAGCAGCACGAGGAGCAGCAGCAGCTCGGCAATGGCAGCAGCTGTCCCTGCAGCAGAAATTGCAGCTCTGGCAGCAGTGCCAGCAGCAGCAGCAGCAGCAGCACGAGCACCAGCACCCCTAGCGCAGCCGTCCGCACGAGACCAGCAGCAGCAGCAGCAGCAGCAGCAGCAGCAGCGGCAAGGTTGCACTGAGTTTGTGCATGCAGGCAGTTCTGTGCTGGAGTCTGAGCGCGACGGGGTGTACGTACACCTCAGGCAGTCGCTCATGGACTTGTACAGGCAAAACCCTCAAAAGTATCTATCTTTTACGGAGTGCAGACAAAGCATTCGTAAGCAGCAGCAGCAGCAGCAGCAGTGGGGGCAGGGGCTGCAGCAGCAGGTGCTGGTGGCGCAGCAGCAGCAGACGTAGCCGCAGCCGCCCTGCGCCTGCGGCAGTGTGCTGCGTGGTTTCTGCACTTGAACTTGCTGCTGCTGCCGTTGCTGCTGCTGCTGCTGCTGCAGCGGGAGACGCGGCGCTGCTGCTGCGGGTTTACTGCTTCCTGGACTACTGGGGTTTAATTAACTTCCAGGCCAATCCGGCGACAGTGCCTTCTTCAGTTCGCCGCAAACGCGAGTTCCTTTTGAAGGATATGCAGGTGCAAACCCTAAACCCTAAACCCTAAACCCTAATTTCCAGGTGCCCCGCCTTCGGCGCTGCAGACGGGCGCGAGCGGGGTTTGCCACCAGCAGCAGCAGCAGCAGCAGCAGCAGCAGGGGTTCGGGGTTCGGGAACTGGGAGTTCAGATATTAGGGTTTAGGGTTTGGGGTTTGGGGTTTGTGCGTGCGCAGAGCTGGAGCCGCGCATCCATTTATGAGAAGCTGCAGCAGCACGGAGCAGCAGCAGCAGCAGCAGCAGCAGCAGCAGAGACCAGCGCAGCACCTCAAGGAGAAGGGCCTTGGCGCTGCGTCTCCTGCGGCAAAATTTGCCTCTATTCTTATTACATACTTAAGCCAGGAGGCACTGCCGGTGAGGGTTTAGGGTTTAGGGTTTAGGGTTTAGGGTTTAGGGTTTGGGGGTGGCGACGGTGTGCTCGTGTGGCAGCAGCGAAGCCACTGACGTGCTGGTTTTGATGCTCAGTGTGTTGCTGCTGCTGCTTTGCTGCTGCTGTTGACCCCGCTCGCGCTGCTGCCTCTGCTGCTGCTGCTGCTGCTGCTGCTGCTGCAGGAGTTTCTTTGGGCGTAATGGACAGCTGCGTGTGGTGTCTTCGCTGCTACGCGGAGGGCCGCTATCCCCATGTGCTCACATCCCGCAACTTCGTGAAGGTAATCCTAAACCCTAAACCCTAATTTCTAAACCCTAAACCCTAGCTCTTAAACCCTAGACCCCAAATCCTAGCGTAGTCTGCAGCTCTAGGCTTATGGCGCCAGACGGGGGGTTTCACCTTGAGGGTTTAGGGTTTGGGGCTAGGGCCTAGCGTCTAGAGGGTTTAGGCCTCGCGGCTTATGGAAGAGGGTTTAGGGTTTAGGGTTTAGGGTTTAGGGTTTAGGGTTTGGGGTGCTTGCGCAGGTGGATCTTCTGATTGCGGGGGCAACAGCGGACGGAAGCGACTGGCAGCTGGACGAGATAGAGAGGTTGATTGGTAAACCCTAAACCCTAATTCGGGGACTGGCGAACCCTAAATTAGCAAACCCTAAACCCTAGACTTTCCAGCCCCAAACCCTGAGTCAGCAAACCCTAAACCCTAAACCCCAAGCTGCAGGAGCCCGAGCCCTGCAGCAGCGGCTGGGGCTGTCACGCGGGCTAATGCTTGCCGAACCCGCGGCGCGGCTAAAACCCCAAACCCTAATTTAGTGTTTAGGGTTTGGCTGCGCAGAGGCCATTGAGCTGCACAAAGATGATTGGGATGAAGTGGCGGAACACGTGGGAGGTGGACGTACACCTCAGCAGTGCGTCGAGCGGTTTATAAAACTTCCAACTCAAGAACCTTTTCTTGAGGCTAGCAAACACGTCGTCAGGTAAACCCTAAACCCTAAACCCTAAACCCTAGGTGCTTGCGCCGGCCGTAGGCCCCAGCTGCGGGCCTGGAGCTGGTGGCGCGGCTTCAAGCGCCGTCGGTACTTAGCTGTAAACCCTAAACCCTAAACCCTAGCCCGGGGTCTGTCGAACTAAGCCCCAAACCCTAAACCCTGAATGTATGGCAAGGAGAATCGAGGGTTTAGGGTTTGCAGTTTGGGCGTGACGTGCCCCGTTTGTGTGGGGATTTGAGGGTTTGGAGATTCGGGTTTGGCGCGAGGCTGGGCTTGAGGGTTTAGGGTTTAGGGCTTAGGGTTTGCGTGTGCGCTCAGCGGGACAGAGCAAACCCCCTTTTCGAGTTTCGCAAACCCTTTATTGTCTCTTTTGGCTTTTCTTTCTTCCGTAGTTCACCCCTCAGTGGCAGCAGCAGCAGCAAGAGCTGCGCTGCAGGAAACAGTTAATTTGGCGGTTTCCAGCAAGGATTTGCTGCCAGAGAAGGAGGGGCAAGCTGCTGCTGCTGCTGCTGCCAGCAGCAGCAGCAGCAGCAGCGCTGGGGGCGGCGGCGCGGCGGACAAGGAGGGCGCTGCAGCAGAGCCTGCAGCAGCAGCAGCAGCAGCAGCAGCTCACGGGGCAGCAGCAGAAGGGGGGGCCAACGGAGTGGGCGTGAAGCAGGAAGCGCCTGCTGCAGCAGCAGATGGGAAGACCAGCAGCAGCAGCAGCAACAGCAGCAGCAGCAGCAGCAAGGAGCTGCTTGTGGGGGAAGAGGCGCTGCAGGTGGCAGCAGCAACAGCCCTAGCAGCAGGAGCAGCAAGTGCAGCAGAGCTGCAGCAACTCGAGCAGCAAAACATCGGATGTTTGCTGCGCTCTGTTGCAGAAGTTCAAATGAGAAGGGTTTCTCTAAAGTTGAAAAAGCTGCAGGCCCTCCAGGAGGTTGTGGCGCGAAGCAAGCAGCAGATGGTAGGGTTTAGGGTTTAGGGTTTAGGGTTTGGGGTTTGGGCTTGCGCAGCGAGGTGGAGCCTGGTGGTCCAGCCCAACGAAGGGTGTAGAACCTAGGGTTTAGGGTTTAGGGTTTAGGGTTTGTAGGTGGGCAGTGTGCTGCTCCGGTCTAAGCTTCGAGGACTAGGGTTTAGCAGGGGGTTGGAGCTGGGTGGCTTTGCGACAGCAGGCGTCTGAAGGGTTTAGGGTTTAGGGTTTAGGGTTTAGGGTTTGTGCTCAGGAGAACCGCCTGTCGCAGCTGTTTGCAGAACACTCCGACCTAATGGCGGAGCTTGAAGGGACAAGGAGTCTTGGGCAGTCAGCTGTTTTGCCGTAGCTGCTGCTGCTGCTGCTGCTGCTGCTGCATGTGGAGAGCCTAGGCAGCAGCAGCAACGTTCGCTGTGCTGGGACATCTATTGGGCCTGGAAAGGGTTTAGGGTTTAGGGTTTAAGGGTTTTCTAGTTTGTTAAATGAACAAATGTTTATTTTAATTTAAACCCCAACTGTCGAGACACCCGATGGCTGTGGGGCAGACGAAACGAAGCAGTTGCGCCGCTTGCTGCTGCTGTTGCTGTGCTGCTGCTGCTGCTGTGGTGTTGCTGCAGCAGCACAGCAGCAGCAGCAGCAGCAGCAGCAGCAGCAGCGCGCACCTGGAATTCTTCAGTGCGTGGGCGCCGCCGGGGGGCCCCAGGCTGCACAGCGGGGGCCCCCGGCAGTGAGGGTTTTGTGAAGCAGCAAACCCTAAACCCTCAGAAGCGTTAGCTGTAAACCCTCGACACGGACCTCGAGCTTTCTGCCCCAGTTTGCAGAGCTGAGGGTTTAGGGTCTGTGGGTGTGTAGGGGATCGCAGGGCGTCAGGCTGAGCCGCTGTCTAGGGTTTAGGGTTTAGGGGTAGTAGTGTTTGCGGGTTTGGGGTTAGCGGGCTTCGAGGGTTTAGGGTTTGGGAGTCGTCCGGCTGCAGCCGCAGCGAGGGTTTGGCGGCCGCGGGCGGGCGGGGAAGGCCGCCGCCGGCAAGAGGGAGTTTTAAAAGCGGAAAACGAAATAAAATAAACTTTTAAGTTTAATTCAAAAGAATATTTGCTGCGAAAAACGCGGCTTCCTGGAGATACACTTCAGCACGAAGTCGATGCTCAGCACCAGCCCAGAGGCATTTCGGGTGTACGTACAGCTCACGCGCACTGTCGCCGCCTCCGCTGCTTTTCTTTGCAGTCATTTTTATATTATTTGCTGCCAAGAATCCGCTCTTTGTAAACCCTAAACCTTAAACCCCCGCAGTAGGGGCGGCGCAGGCCGGGCACTTGAGCGGGGGCTCTGTGGGCTCGATCTATACTGGAAATGCCACGCACAAGACACGAAACCCCAAACCCTAAACCCTAATGTAGAGGTTGTATGCTCATTACAATTGCGGGAAGCGCCTTAGCTGGCTACTTTTTCCGGAGAGACCGGCAGAGGTCCTCTGCTGCTCCTGGCCCGGCAGCAGCACCGGAGGCGGCAGCAGCAGCAGCTGCAGCAGCTGCTGCTCCAACTGCCGCAACACCTCCAGAAGCAGCAGCTGCAGCAGCAACTTTAACTAAGGAAGCCCACGGCGGGGGTCGTCATCCCCAGGGGCCCCGTGAACAGGCAGCATCGAGTGAGGCCTCTGCTGCAGCAGCCGAGGCGCAGCAACAGCAGCAGCAACAGCAGCGGCAGCAGCAGCAGCAGCCGCAGCAGCAAGAGCTGCGAAAAACCCGCTCACGAGGCCGCCGAAGGCAGCCCATCCAAAAGCTGCACCGTGCCGTGCAGCGCCCGCTGCTTCCTGCTGCTGCTGCTACGCAGACCCTGCAGCACCAGGAGCTGCAGCCAGAGCAACAGCAGCAGCAGCAGCAGCAACAGCAGCAGCAGCCGAAGCAGCAGCTCACAGAAGCTGACAGGCGAAGACAGCAGCAATTTTCTGACTTCCTCTCGAACGTCTGCCCATCTAAAGCGCCGCAGCAGGAAAGGCGGGAAAAGCAGCAGCAGCAGCAGCAAAAGCCACAGCAGCAGCAGTTGCAGCCGCAGCAGGAAGGCGCTGCACTGGGGCCCAGCAGCAGCAGCAGGAGGCCAAAGCAGCGAAAGCAGGAGCACAAGAAGTAGCAGCAGCAGCAGCAGCAGCAGTCGCAGCACTCCCGGAAGACAAGGCAGCAGCTAGGTGCTGCCGCTGCTGCTGCTGCTGCTGCTGCTGCTGCTGGGGTGGCTGGAGCGCCAGGGTTTTGCGGCCTCAAGAGCAGCAGCAGCGAACAAATGTGCTGCATGTCTTTGGAAAAGTTGAAGTTCGATGAAGTGGAATAAAAAGTGTCTTCAACAATTTTAAATAATAAATTATATTTATTTTAAATAAATTGAATTTTAAATTTTAAACTTTGCTTTTTATTATTTATGAATGTCTGGGCCTCGCTGTAGATGTCCAGGGGCCCCCGTGCTTTCCCTTGTCTTCTTTTCTAGTACCCTCCCATGCTGCACTTGGGGGCCCCCCGCAGCTGCAGCGGGGCCTTCGGACCCTCGAGGGGGGCCCCCAGGGGCCCCCGGAGGGCCCCCGGGGGCCCCTGTAGGGGTCCCTCCTTGGGGGCCCCCTGGGGCCTATTGAGGCGGCTCGCTAACCTCCAGCAAAACTCTTTCAACAAGCTGCTGCTGCTGCTGCTGCTGCATGCGCCGCTGCAGCAGGAGCCGAGGGGGCCCCCCCTGGGCAGCGCTGTACTCTCAGCGGCCCCTGGGGCCTGGGGGGCCCCCTGCTGCTTCTGGGGGCCCCTAGGTGCTGCTGCTGAAGAGTCTAATGGGGAGGAGCTGTTTGTGTTTGACGACCCGCCGGACTTTGTGCTGCAGCAGCAGCAGCGGCA